CCTAAACCCTAAACCCTAAGGAAGAGCATCACCCCGCACGTGAAGACCAACCTTGTCGAAGTGGACGGGCCGGGCAAGGCCGAGGGACGGCTCGTCGGTTAAGGGTTTAGGGGTTCGGGGTTTAGGGTTGAGGGTTTAGGGCTTTAGGGTTTTAGGGGTTTGGGTTTAGGGTTTTAGGGGTTAGGGTTGAGGGTTTAGGGTTTAGGGTTTAGGGTTTAGGGTTAAGGGTTTAGGGGTTAGGGTTTAGGGGTTTGGGTTTCGGGTAGGGCTTTCAGGGAAAGGGTTCGGGACCCCAAAGCCCTAAACCCTAAATCCTAAATTCTAAACCCCTAACTCCTAAATCCTAAACCCTAAACCCTAAACCCTAAACCCAGCTTTAGGGTTTGGTGTTTGGGGTTCAGGGATGTTGCTAGGGTTCCTCTGTGGTTTGGGGATCTGGGGTTGGGGTTCAGAGTTTGGAACTTGGGTTTCAAGGGTTTTAGGGTTCAGGGTTTATAGGGTTTTAGGGTTCAAGGTTTAGGGTTTAGGGTTTAGGGTTTTAGGGTTTAGGTTGTAAAGAAGTAGGGTTTAAGGATTTAGGTATTTAGGTATTTAAGAGTTTTTTGCTGTAGGGCTTAGCGGGCTTAGTGCTTAGGGATCTCAAGGTTCGGGGTACCTTTAAGGGACAATAGGAGGGACCCCTAGAAGGAACCCCTGATCCTAATACCCTATATAACCCTTGTATACCCCGTATATAGTCTCATAAAGCCCCTACAAAAACCCCTAGGGTCCCTTTAAGGGTCCCTCCTTTAGCCCCTTGATACCTTATTTCCAGGCCGTACTATATTGGGGACCGAGAAAGTGACCCTAGTTTAGAGAACTACCCATATCCTCATCCTAACCCTGAAACCCCAAACCCTAAACCCTGTCCCTAGACAGGGACCCTAATTTAGAGAACTACCCACCTACAGTGAACCGCAGAAATCTGGCTCCTTGCTACTTCAAGGGGCTCCTTTTAAAGGGTTTAGGGGGCTCCTTTCAAAAGGGCTTAGGGTTTAGGGTTTAGGGTCTATAGCGTGGATTCAGGATGATTAGTGCTGGGCCATCGGGTCTCCGAGATTCATCTTTCTTTCCTGCGACTTGCTTTCGCGCCAACATGATGGGACAGGGTTTAGGGTTTGGGGTTTAGGGTTTGGCATCGCGGGCCTGTGATTCGTATCTCATGATGATAGCCCCCGATGAGGGGATAAATCCCGAAACCCTTAACCCTAAACCCTAAACTGGACAGGTGGCCATCTTCGAGAAAGAGAGTGGCGAGCGGGTGAAGAAGGAGTTCGAATTTCTGTTCTTTGGCCTTCGGCGATTTGGGGTTTAGGGTTCTACGGTTGATGAAATAAATCCTGCCATACCCATAAGAAGGAATATACCATAAATCCCATGATCAGGGTCCTTAATGTAATGCAGGGTTGATATCATCAACAGTAGGTTTCGACTCAGTGTAGGCTCAAGGGGCTACATGAGCCTCGAATGATAGTGCAATAGAGTGAACAACAAGTAAGAATGTCACCTCATACGTCTTACGTTGTTAGGAAATGAATTATAGTTTTCGTTCTAACATGTACACCCCCTTGACACAACAAGACTCGTACTCATGATATCGAGGCCCCTGCAGCACTTAATTCTTATTGCATCGAGTCGAATGTGCATAGATCGCAACTCGCACGGGCATTGTCGAAATCATTTTCAGCCGGCGCCCTGAACCCTATGAGAGGCGCCTCTTACTTTCTTGCATCAAGGTATATGATGATCATTGTCAAGACCTGCCGGGGGTTTTGTTCTAGGCGAAAAGATTATTCCAGGCCAACATCGAGATGCCTATAGCTCTTGTCGTGTTTTCCAGGTTTTGGGTGAAGGTGTCATAGCTCATCATAGCCCTAAACCCTAAACCCTAAACCGTGTCAGAAAGACAGTGCTGGAAGCTGTTCCCTAAACCCTAAACCCTAAACGATCGCCATGCCAAGGCATGTGACCCCACCCATGAGCGCGCCGGACTTCATCAAGAGCCTCGCCTCCAGGTTGGAGCTGCCAAAAGTTACTCTCCCGAGACCGAATCACAATCCCAAACCAGCAAAGCTTCCCACATGGATGACATAGGGACCTTAATCATTAGAATAGGAGTTTGGGGCAAATTGTACTATGATTAGAATAAGGAACCCCAGCAAAAGCCTACTCTAATTATTAAGGCCTCTACATTAGCATTGAAGCTTTGCGTCTCCGCTAGCATGCTTGAGCCTCCTGAACTTTGTAATCGCAAGATCGCCTCAACGTTGCCTTTAGGGTTGTACATAGAAATGTAGGGGCTTAAATCATTACCAATACATTTTTGGGGTTCCTTATTAGAATGATAGTATTATATACCCCTAAACCCTATTCTAATTATGGCCCCTATATTAATCAGAAGGCCGTCGACTGCAAACCGGAGGGTGTCAGGCTTGCGCTGAGGTTTGCAGGGTTTGGCTGAAACGTGTCATGGTTCCTTTTTGCGTCGTTTCTCCATGAGGACGGCGACACCGTCCTGTGCACATCTTATTGTTTCTGCCGTTGATATTGCGGCTGCAGTCCAAGAGAACAACAAGCATTTATAAGTACACTCGACGAGCTCAGGAACAGCCCGCTGGCCAACGGCATCGGCTTCGTTGATGTTGACAAGGACAGCCCTAAACCCTAAACCTTAAAGCCCAAACCCTAAACCTTAAACCCTAAACCCTAAGCCTTCAACTGCTAGACCCAAGAAGGCCAAAGCCGAAACCCTGAACACCCCAAGCCCGAAATCCGAGAGCCCCAAATGCCCTGAACCCCGAAAGCCCAAAACGGTGCAGGGCTTTGGGTTTAAAAAGTGGCGTTAATAATTAGAACAGGGTTTGGGGTATAGTATACTATTATTTAGGCCCCCTACACTACGGGTCCGGACCCCAAAAAAAAAACCGAAGAACCCGAAACCGTGCTTTAAACACCCTAAACCCTAAACCCCAAACCCAAAACCCTAAACCCCTAAACCCTGAACCCCTAAACCCTAAACCCTAAACCCCAAACCCAAAACCCTAAACCCCAAAAGCCCTAAACTCTAAACCCTA